TATTTTTGATTTCGAAGATTTCGTGTTTTGATATTTTTCTGCTCAGTTTTGTGTTTCTATTATCGAAACTATTGCATATCTTTATATTGACGAAACTTTTACCGGGTAACTTTTGGTATGTTATAGAAATGATGATTTTGCACGATTTGAGTATTTTCTGGAAAGTTTTCATCGGGTATTTTGAATTCTGTGTGATTTTTATCGAATAGATAATTATCTGGATGTTGAAAAATATTGCTACAGTTCAAGTAAAGTTTTGAAATGATGTTTTATCCGATTTCTGGTAATTTGGTAGTTTTCTGAAACTGTGTATTTTGACTATGTTTGGGATTTCTATCGACTGTACGATATTTTAAGGATTTTTTTTTTATTGAGTTAAATTGTGTTTGTTGATTGCAATATATTAATTAGATGTATATGATTGTGAATATATGATTGAATCTACTATTATATTACTGAAAGACAAGTAAAGACTGATTGAACCGTTGGTTGGAGATTGACCTGTATAGGATGGTGGGCCGACGGGCTTTCCTTTAAAAAGAGTTTGGTGTTATCCTCTATTGATCACATGATATAATGATTGGGAGTCATAAGGAAATTACTGTGCCGACGGGCAATGGTGACGACTCTATTTATCAAGCCAATGAATTACTAACATTGATACTAACCTTGAAAAACGTCTTAATAGCCAGTGATTGCACTTGTTAAGTAATACTATTGTACTTGAATGCATGTGTAAAGTATTGTATTTATGATTTATTGATATTGAACTGGTTTATCAATATTGAACGTATTTATTGATTTATGTATGAATTTACTGATATCGACGGATTTATTGATGTTGAATGGATTTACTGACGGATTTACGGGTTTACTGTTACTATATGATTTTATTGATATTGCATTGATTCATTAATTCATTAATACTACGGATACCGATATTATTAATTCATCGATATTATGGATTCATTGATACACTGAATACATGTGATACATTGATAACATGTGATACAAGTGATACACTGATAAGTCTGACAACATGTGATTCACCGAACATGTGATATAGATTAATTGTATTGCATATAACACACCGAGCACGTGATATAGAATATGCTTTTACTATATTGCTGTGATTTCAACTATTTTTATCGATGTATTAATTCGATTGTTTTATGTGATTCCATACCGATTGATATTATTGACCGAAATTGATTTCTCTTGATAATGACTGATATGATTGATCCGATGATTTCTATATTGATTTGACGCACGTATTGATTTATTGAGCTTTACAAACTTTTATACTGTTTATTGATTCTTCTACTGATAATTATGGCTTTACATGTTTCTGTATTGATTACCGTTTCTATGTTGATTTCTGTTTATGTACCGATTTCCGTATCTGCATCGATTCAATGATCACGTGTAAGTGACTGATATTGATTTGATTGATTGACATGCATATTGCTTTCATACCGTGCTTTGATTTCTGTTGTAGGCTTTGGTGACCTGCTAGACTTTTGAAGCTCATTATATGTGGTTAATGATTTCAGGTACAGAGCCTCCCGCATGAAGCTTCATAGAGCCACTAGTGTAGTTTTCGTAGTTTTTGGTTCATGCATTGTTTTGTAGCCCGAGCGGCTATTGTATATATTCTTTTAGACGCTACTTTTGGGATTGTAAATATGAAACGTTGTAATATGAATTATTATTTTATGATGTATTTGTTTTCTTTAATGCAATTATCATTTCTGGATGTCTGTATTTATCTGAGCGAGAAGAAAGAATAAGAAGAAAAGTATGTCGATGAATCCCTTTACTATAGATGCCTGGGTCGTCACATTTTATGCCTTCAACTTAAAGAGGAGGATCTCCTTGGCCATCATCCTTAGTGACCTACATAATCTTCTAGCACCAATTCATTCTTAGCCTTTAAAACTTGTATCCTTCATCACATGGAGGAAACTATATTGATGCACAGCCTTACAATATCACAAAAACCAAGGATACTAGCCACAACTTAATTTTACTTGCTTTGTGTAATACCAACATATCCAATCTTATGTAGTGAGCCATCATAGCAATACAAAAAAGACTTATTTTTTAGCAAATATTATGTTTTTTCTTAAATTAATTTTCTTATATATGCATTTTTAATCAATGTGATTCTCCAGTATGCATAACATAGTTATTTTTCGAAGTTTTTTTCTCTCAAGATGATTATATATAGGATCACCTAAGAGTATTGTTATGATCCACCGAAATGTTGTATGATATGATTGACCTATATATATATGTACGATTAAACTCTATACTTTTATTTTATATTTATTTAATGAATCATTTTTTTATATCATAATGCATATTTTGCCCTATTTTATACACTTTTTTAAAAAATTATATCGACACTATATGAAAATGTGTATAGTTTTATACTTTTATTATTGCACTTATTTTCCTTACTATTGATGTATGCCCGAATAATTAGACATTTTGGAGACATATGATGCTCATTTCATAAACATTTTTTTTATTTATGTGTTTTAGATCAACTATAATATTTTATGACTTTTTTTTTTAATTTTTTTTAAGCCTTAGATTAAATATTATAGCTACTCATACTAAACTCTTACTTTTCTTCTTAAGTTTTTTGGCAAAAATGACATATCTTTATCCATAAATATGAAAATTTCTTATCCATTTCCTTGTCTCAATCATAACAAATATTTCATTGAAAAAAAAATCGGAGAATTAGAAGAGTCTTTTAGACTTATAAAACTTATATTCATAGCAATTAAAGTTTGATTCAAGAGAAAGATCATTTTAGAAATTTATTCCAAAAAGAAGTAAGCTAATTTTCCCCCACTTGTGATTTCATTAGTAACATCTATGGTGTGTTTTCTCATATTTTTTTTTATATAAAATGCTAAAATACTTAGGCTTCGTTTGCGACGGCTTTCTTACTTTTTAAACCAGCTTTTCCGTATAAATTTTTTATTTTTTTACTAGAAAGCTATTTTAAGAAGCATAAAGAAAGTCATCCCAAACTAAGACTTCGTTTGTGATAACCTTTTTACTGCTTTCTAAAGCAGCTTTTTAGTACAAAATTTAAAATTTTGGTACTAGAAAGCTGCTTTAAGAAGCAGTAAGAAAGTTGTCCCAAACGAAGCTTAAGTCTTAAACAGTGGAACGAATTTAGGCTAAGTGTGGGATAACTTTTTTACTGTTTTCTAAAACAGTTTTTTAGTACAAAAATTTTTGTACTAAAAAAATTGCTTTAGAAAACAGTAAAAAGACGGGTCGAAACCTTAATTTATATTCATCTACATGTTGCTTAAGGAATCTTGGGAAGAAGATCGAATCATCTTATGCTTACATTTATGTAACTAAGGCATTAGATTGTCGCTGGCTTCTTCTTGAAGACTATTACTATTCCCTGCATGCACCATCCGATTATTCATAAAGGCAATGGCAATGGAATATATCTTATAGCTTATACCAAACTTCTCAAAGATAAAGAGAGAGGAGAGAATTTAGCTATATCAATTTAATATAATTTTCTTTTCCAATCTTCTTTTGCCCATCTACAAATTGGCAATTGAGCACACTAAGATTTTATTTAGGATAATTTTTTAGATCACAATCATAATTGAATCATAATATTTTCCTCTAAAAAAGTTTGCCCTTATAATAATTTAATAACGTGGAATTAGGGGATGAACCATTAGCCTTCAACAAAAAAAATGTTGCTATTTATAAACTCATGATTCTACCCAATCCATCCTTAGCTAGGGATAAATTATTAAGTGTTGATGCCGAACTCGAGAGACCAATTATAATGTGCCACGTCTCTCAATACACAATTGTGTATTGGTCCATTACACAGCTTTGTATCAATACATAGTTGCGTATTGATGATGTGGCGCTCTCTAATTAGCCACCTGACGTCGTTTGGGGTATGCACGTAATAGTTTTCGAGAGTTGGGAAGAAAAATTGGGAAGTTCATGCCAAAGGGAAGTCATATTGTATGGTATGAATTTTATTCTGCTTGATCCTTAATTATGCTTGTAACATGCTATATATAATGGCTAATTAATTTTGATAAAAATATCTATTGTTTTAAAAAATCATTAAAATTATATTTTTAATTAAAAAAATGTGTTATTCAATATATGGAATCACTTGTAAGAAAATAAAGAATTCAATAGAATATAGAATTATTTTTAAATGCATTAATATAATATAATTCTTCATTAATATCATATAAATAATAATAATAAATATTATTATTATTATAATTAAATTAAATATATTAAATTAAGTTTTAAAAATATGAAATATTTTGTATAATTATTCGGCTATCATATATTAAATAGTTTACACTTAGCTTAGCTTTTTAGAGCAATTTTTTGTTACTTTTTTCATTTCTTTCAAAAAAAATTTTGTGGTGAAGCTATTGTAAAAAATAATAAAAAAAGGTCCAAAAAGTAAAGTCTTAGACTTCTAACTTTCATCTGAAGACAATTTTCTTATTGTTTTTTATTTTTTTTACTAAAAAGTGCTTTAAGAAAGAGTGTAGAAAATTATCCAAAATGAAACATTTATCAGGACAACTTTTTATTGATTTCTAAAATAAGTTTTAAGTACAAAAATTTTAGCTCAAAAATTTTTTTTATTGAAAAGTTATTTTAAAAAATAACAAGAAAGTGGTCTCCAATAATGCGCTTAATAATTTTTTATTAGAAGAATATTTTCTATAAAATTTGTTTAGAACTCTTGATAGGAAATTGAACAAAAATTCTTATAATTAAAATAATAATAATAATAAAAACAATTCTAAAGATTTTTATCCCACTATGGCACTATTGCCTATCGGTGCTGGCGGCAACATCGTGATTTCTTTCCAGTTAAAATTGCAATTTTACTCGAATATTATGGAAATTATGAAGAAGATCGGCAGGGGTAAAGTTGGGAGAAGAGATGGGAGCAGAAAACAACGCAAAACATACGTCCCCTATCCCTTCCAACCCCACAAGAAAGGACGGAACGAGCAGTGGAGAGCGGTAGGAGGTTAGAAGAAAGAAGCGTATTAACGAAGAGAGAGAGAGAGACAGGGGGAGAGAGAGAAGTTGGTGGATGCTAAGTCTGCTTCTTCTTAAGCTCCTCCGCCGGTCAACCTCGGGGTTCCTCGGCCACCTTCCGCCGTTGCGCTCTTTAAGAAAGGTGTGGTCTTTATTCGCCTTGGTCCCTTAAGTAATCTCCTTTTTTCTCTTTTCCTTTCATCTTAGTGTCGCACATGTTTTGGAAGTTGGGTTTTTGCTCTGTATTGGAATGCTTAGGCTCTGCTTATGGGCAATGATTCGAGGAGATGGATTTTGTTGGAAGATTGTTGATTTTCTTTTCAAAGGTGGCGGATTTGATCGGCGTTCGCGGAGAAGGGGATTGGATTTTAGGAGATTCCGGCGGTTGGTGGATTTAAAAGGGTCTTTGTATTGTGTATTTTGTTACTCGATGCTTGATTACCGGTTGTTATAAGGTGGTGGTGATGATTCTGCCACCACTTCGTTTCCTATTTGAGGTTTTTTTTTTTTTTGAGTGTTTTGGGTGGCCGCCACCTTAGTTTTGATTATTGGGCAGAATTTTTTATGTGGGATGCAATTTAGGTTGGTTGATTAATCTTTCTGCTTTGAATTTTCTGAGGCAGAATCTGGAAGCTAAAAATTCTATCTTTTTTGTTTCTTGTTCTTGTTGTCAGAGAAAACTGAAAGTCTCGAACGTTGTTAATGTTTCTGAACTGTTGAACGTTTGGTTTGCTTGTTGATGGTTTAAGAATTTAGGTTGATAGGTGATTGGATGGAATCATTAAGAGGAACAGTGAATTGGTGGGAGATTTTGTAGAACCCTCGCCACACTGTTGTGGCTTGGTTTCTTGTGTTCTTCAACATAATTTATCAGTCGCTGAAATGAAAAAAAATTTCTAATCATTTGAATTTTGGCCTTTGATTATGACAGAAAACTCTCTGTGTGGGGCACCTCCCATGTACGCATTTTATTCTTTATTCGACACCATTGTCAAGCTTCAGTAATTTTACCCTTCTTCGTCTCTCTGCTTGATTTGCTGTTCAATGTGCAGTATTCCTCATTTCTTGATGTATTATTTATGAATATTGAAGAAAAAGCTTTGGCTGTTTTTAACATTTTAGATCACTGACTTTATGGGAAATAGTTGCATCTTTTAAAGCTTTTGTTCCTGTCATCCTTGCTTATATCTTTTGAAATGCCCGTCTTGTGAAATTTGTCTTGTTTTTGGCAGGTGATGGTGTTGCTCTATCTCTGCTTTTATTTGAAGCCCTTTATTTATGGTTCTCTTTGATTTTTTATGTTGTGTTTAGTTATCTTCTCCTTTTTAGATTATTCGCCGCTTGAAAATGAGTTTTTTTCGATGCTTAAGAACATACTTATGCAACAAAATTCTCATATGAGAGCTAAAATGTTTTTTTTTATTTATTTAATAAATTTTTTTATTAATGGAAACATGTTATATGTATATATTGTTATATTCTCATTCTTCAGAATTTAATGTTTGTTGAACTTTAAGGATTCATTTGGGACTGTTTTTTTTTACCGTTTTTAAAGGCAAATTTCTAGTGCAATAATTACATTTTTTTTTATTAAAAAGCTGCTTTAAGAAGCAGTAAGAAAGCCGTTCCAAATGAAGCTTAAGTTTGCAAATAATCTTGACATCAACCATAAAGATGGTAGTTTCTTGAATAGAGGCATGATTTAGTGTGATGCATCTCATATTAGTTATATGATGTTAATTTTATGACTTGTGCCCTTTATTGCTTTTAGCTGCTTAGTTATCCTGCTAGAACAAAAAATATTAAATGAGTAAAAAGTATACAATGACTCATATTTAGTCTATCATTCCTTATTTAGTTATGAACTCCTATGGTTTATTTATGGAAATAAATGCCTAGAGAGAAACTTTAGTATGATCATGATTGCATATCTAAGAGGAACAATAGTTTGGAAAACTAGCTCGCTAGGTTCTTGCTAGTGTGGAAGCTCTATGATGTACACAAGCCTAACAAAATGCAGTCTAGAGTCTGTTTCCAAAACGAAATCTATGGCATTCAATGTTAGTAATAAGGCAACCTGAATATTTTGCCGAGGAAGACCTGTAATGGAAAGCAAAAGTTTTTTTTTTTTGAAAATATTTGTTCAGTATTTTGACTTATAGGCTTTGAGTTTCAGCATATGATGTGCATGCATCTGTTGTCCTTTTTAGAGAACCACGCAATGTAGCTTTATCTTCTTTATCTTCATTGAATAGGTAATAGGCATATCAGTTTTCATGTTGATGGAAAATATCGATAACATCATATTTGATCCAATACTTGTTGAATTACTAATGTAGAGATCTCAGCCTTAAATGGAAAGGTCCTTGTCTCTGTGATATATTTTAGCTGATAGAAGGGAAACAAAAATTATATCGTGTGATCACAATCTCTTGACATGGCAGGACAATATTTTCGATGCATTTAGTGGATGTGAGTGACAGGAATTTTCATCCATTCAGATTAAATGTTTGAAGTTATTACATTTAGAGTTGAGGGAGAAGAGCTTATTTAGTTGTGTTGCCTCTAATATGGTAGAGAAGAGCAATACAATACTGCGAGAAACATCCAGCCCAGGTTGCATTCATCCTTTTAGTTCTTTGACTCAGCGTCCACCACTCCCATATCAGTGTCATTCCACGGATTGCTGGCTCTAAGCTAGCTCGCCAGCTAGCTCCATGGATTCCAACTTCCACCTTGCTATATTCCTTCTTTTCCATTGCCACCTCATGGATCCTTGGATCCATGGGATCCTGTTAGTCCGGTTGGAACCGGTTCAGGTTTACTGCTGCCGGCCCAGGGGAGGGCTGAACCAAGGGAGAGGGGGGCGGATGGCCTAGTGGGCCCAAACAATTAATGTAATGGGTGTTTAGGAGGGAAATTTGAATTAGAGGGCTGTTTAGGGATTTTGTATGTCTCCTTTTGCTTTAATTAGGGGCGAATGATAGAATTTGGTTTTCATCTTGAATTTGGAAAAGAATTTGAGATCTAGGGTTTGTGTTCTGGGACTCTAGGCTTGGTTAGAGATTTGGAGAGTTGTTTATTCTTCTCGAATTGAAGAAACTTGTATCATTTGCTGTTTGACTGCTTGAAACAGCAGTTATCTTCACTGTTTTCCACCAAATCTTGTTAGGTTTGCTTGCGAACTCAAGTATTACCCTTGCAGTTACTTGTGAACTCAAGTACTTCCTATCAGATCCTTGATGTCATCTCACGAATTAGTAATGTAAAGATTACATTCCGGATTCACTGGAAATCAATTACTGAATCCGAGAAAAATTGAGGAAAAAGCCTCTTATGCTGCTAATGGATTGAGATTCCCAAAGTTTAAATAGAATCCGACCGGATGTTGAGATAACGAAGGGTTCGTTAAAATCTGATCAGAATTGTTCCAGGTGGTTATTATATGTGGTTTGTGCCAATGAATTTACCTCAAGCATATGTGCTATCATCATAATTGGAAGATGAATTGATTTCCAGTGAATCTACTTATTGCACCTCAGATTAATCCGAGCTCATAAGCTCCTTCTTTTATTTCTAATTATTCATGAGATTTTGTTCATTCAGATATAATAGTTATTTTGCTTAATGATTTTACCTTTTTACATAGGTACACTGCTGTGAACCATGGTTAGCATTAGGAGACGCAGATTGTTGGGGCTCTGTTCTGGTATGTTCATTAACACTGTGCAATTTTACTCGAGTGTATATAAATAATATAGATTATAGGAAAAATATATTATGTATAGATATACAATTATATAAGCTCTGGTACAAAACTTACTGTGTTTATGCTCATTTCCTTTATTAGAATGACATTTTGATAACTATTTTTTTAATAGTTTTTCGCTTAAGCCTTTACTGTTTTTATTTTATTTAGGCTTCGTTTGGGTCCGCTTTTTCACTGCTTCTTAAAACAGCTTTTTAGTAAAAAATTAAAATTTGTATACTAAAAAACAGTTTTAGGAAGCAATGAGAAAGCCGTCCCAAACAAAGCCATAATTACACCATGAATGGTAATGGAAGATATTGATTTAAAAATAAAGACCATGAGACTGATGAGGCTGATGAAAACCTTCTCTGTTGGTTATCCTAACACCAATGAGGTTTTCTTATCAAGAAATTAGGGTCAGCTTTTGATAAGTTCTCAATACTTATCAAAATTTCAGGTTGTCCTATAAATTTTAATCAGCTCAGAAAATGGTTTAATATTTTTTTTCAGGAAAAAACTCCATTCCAGTTGAGTTGCCTGGACCAATCGAGGGCAGTAATACTGTCGAAAATCTTAATAAAAATGTTAAGCCTTTCAGCATTCATCCCATGCCTTCAGTTGCTTCAAATCATGAAAAGCCAGTAAGTATAAACCTATTTTTATTATACCTATCTTTAATAATTTTTTTTTTATGTTCTGCATTTGGATTTTTTAAATTATTTCTGCTTGTACTCAATAGTTATAAAAATGGTGATCTTGAGCAATATCCTTTTTCCAGCTTACTGTTATTTTCACTGTTGTTTTCACTGTTGTTTCTTCCCTTGCACGGATATTTCCCATCAATATACAAGCGTTTGAAATGGAAGATGAAATGCCCATGGCTGCACAATGATAGGAAGTGCTTGTATTCACAAGCAACCTATCCAAAATCGGCGAACCAACAGCAGCCAAATGGCTGCCCACAGCAGGAAAACAGCAGATTTCTGCTGTTTACAGCAGGAAAACAGCACTTGTCCGGGAAAATACAGAGAAGGGGAAGAAGGAATGTTATAAGTGATTTCTCCTTTTATTCCTAAAATTACTGTCTAATAAAGGAAATAACTAGCTTAATTATTTTCTAAAATTTAGGAAACATAAGCATAGGAGAATAATTTTTTTTCTAAAAATTAGGAAATAAAATCGTAGGAGAAGATCACAATTGATCTCTCATTTTATTCCTAAAATTACTTTCATAAAATAAATCCCCTAATTAAGGAAACAAAATCATAGGAGAGAATCAGAATCAATCTCTCTTTTTATTCCTAAAAATACTTTCATAAAATAAATTCTCCAACTTTGACTTTCAAATATTCAATAATCTCCCTCAAGTTGAAGAATATGTATAATATAATCTAAGCTTACAAATTAAGTCTTCAAAGTTTGGTATAGGTAGAGCTTTGGTGATTTTTGCAATTTGTTTCTTGGTAGGGATGTATTTTAATTTGACAGTCCGACTAGTCACCTGCTCTGTGATGAAATGTCTATCAATTTCAACGTGTTTAGTCCTGTCATGATGCACGAGATTCTTAGCTATAATGATAGCTGCTTGATTATCACACGTCATCATAATAGGAGATGAAATCATTGGTTCTAGTTTACTAAGAACACGTTTTTTCCAAATTCATTCACAAATTCTTTGTGTAAGTGCTCTATACCCAGCTTTTGCACTACTTCTGACAACCACTAATTGCTTCCATTCCTCTAGGTAACAAGATTACCCCAGACAAAAGAAAAGTACCGAGAAGTTGACAGTCTGTTAATGATATTTCTTGCCCAATCTTCCTCTGAATACACTTCAGTGTTATTATTCTATGCCTTTTTGAAGAATTGACTTTTTCCTGGTGTCATCTTCAAGTATCTAAGAATCACTTAGATTGCTTCAATGTGTTTTTTTGTACGATTGTGCATGAATTGACTTATAATATTCACTGCAAAATCATTATTTGGCGAAGTCTTTGAAAGATAGATCAAACGACCAACAAGTCTCTTATATTTGCCACTGCCTATAGACATACTTTCTTTCTCGGTGGCTAATTTATTTTGCTTGTTCATAGGAGTATCAATAGCTTTGCATCCAAGCATATCAGCCTCCTTAAGAAGATTTAGAATATTTTTTCTTTGAGAAACAACAATGTTCTTTCTTGATCTAGCCACTTCTATTCCAAGTATTTAAGATTTTCAAGATCTTTAACTTCCAACTCTTCTGACAAATACTTATTCAAAATTTGTAATTCCTCTATATCATTCCCGGATAGAAGAATATCATTGACATAGACTATCAATATAGCAATTTTACCAGCATGAAATTTCTTGACAACTGATTAGCTTGATCCTGTATATAGCCTACCTTCAAAACAGCCTTTATGAATTTGTTAGATCATGCTCGAGGAGATTGTTTAAGCCCGTATAAGGACTTCTTGAGTTTGCAAACCTAATTTTTTGCCATACATTTTTCAAAACTAGGAGGTATTTCCATGCATACTTCCTCTTTAAGGTCACCATTTAGAATGACATTTTTTTATGTCTAGTTGTTGCAATTACCAATTATAGCTGACAACCAATAGGAGAAGAATTATAATACTATTAAGATTTGTGATAGGAGCAAAAGTTTCTTGATAGTTCTATCCCTTAGGATTGTGTAAATCCTCTATTTTCCAACCGAGCCTTGAATCTCTCAAGTGATTCATCTGCTTTGTACTTTATAGTGAAAATCCACTTACACCCAACGGGCATTTCTCTAGCTGGAAAATCAGTAATGGTCCATGTTCTATTCTTTTCAAGTGCATCAATCTTATCTTGTACTGCCTTCTTTGACCTAAATTTTGTAATGCTTCTTTATTGTGCTAGGAACGTGAATATCATCAAGAGAAGTAGCAAATATTTTGTAAGATGTCAATAGTCCTCTATAAGTAACAGAATTCTCAATTGGATAACATGTACATCTCCTAACACCCTTCCTCAATGCAATTGGCATGGTAGAGCCATCAATTTTGGGAATGGGCACATTTCCAACATTTTTCATGCCTATGTTTTCTTCAGATGAACTTGAAATTAAGTTAAAATCTTGGCCGCATGCTGGCTGTGATCCATGCTCTAACTTATGTCGTTTCTTCCTCCTGATGTAGACTTGAAAATTCTCATTAGCAAGTTGTGGAGTCATAGATTGAGTGGGCACAGGAGTAGAAATATTTGTAGACTGGACTGATGACTGAATAGCCTCGGGTGTGGACAAGTATTCAGTATAGTCTTTGGGCACAAGCTTAGGTTGAGAAGAACTTTGTGACTTTGAGTGGGAAAAGGCATGGACTTAAAAAAGAACTCTCAACATGAGATTTGGGATAGAAGGACATATGTTCAAAGAAAGAGATATCCATGATGATGTAAAATCTTTTGTTGGTTGGAGTATAACATTTGTACCATTTTTGAGTTAGAGAGTACCTTAGAAAAATACACTTATTGGCTCTAGGATCAAATTTGCTACGCTGTTGAGGATACACATGAACAAATGTCGTGCAACCAAATATCTTGAGAGATAAATCAGTTGAAGCTGCACATGTGTGAAGAAAATTTGATAGAAGAAGCTGACTTGGAGATTAAAAATCAAGGACTCTAGATGGCATACAATTGATCAAATATGTAACTGTGAGAATGACTTCCCCTCAGAAATAATTTGGAACATTAGAGAAAAACATAAGACACAAGGCAACCTCCAAGAGATGTTTATTCATGCATTTAACCATCCTATTTTGTTGAGGGGTGTCAATGTAACAACTTATGTGGATAATCTCATGCTTCTGAAGGTAGCTATTAAGACTACTAGTGAAGTATTCCCTAACATTGTCTAACTTGAGTACCGAATTCTAGAGTTGAATTGATTTTGAACCATAAGATTAAAGATTTGAAAAATGTTCCTAACCTCAGACTTTTCTTTCATAAGAAAAATCTGAATTATCATTGTATGATCAACAACAAATGTTACAAATCATTGAGTGTTAGAAATATTGTTTATCCTAGAGGGACCCCACACATCACTATGGATCAAAGAAAAGATAGTTAAAGGTTTGTATGGAATTTGAGGATATACTGTTCGAGTATGTTTTACAATCTGATAAGTTTCACAATGAAAATATGCTGGACTTTTGATGATAAATAATTTGGTAAGATACAGAAAGCTAGGATGACTAAGACGAGAGTGTGATAATATAATTTCACTATCTTTATTGACATTAAAATTGGACATAGAATTGAAAGATTTTTATAGATACTGAGAGTGAATACAACTTGCTTGCGAAACTTGATTTGAGGATTTGTCACAAGAGAGGAGATAGAGCTCAGAGCACAATTTAACACTACCAATCATCTTCCCTGATTTCAAGTCTTGAAAAGCCTGTAAGTTTGGATAAATTTTAGTAACACATGAAGGTTATGAGACAATTTGCTAATGGACAAACGATTACAATCCAAGTTTGAAATATGGATGATAGAGTTGAGATAAAACTCTTTAGTAATTTGGATGTGTTCTGTTCCAACAATTTTAGAATTTGAACCATCAGCAATATGGATGAACGAGTGACCACAACTTGGCTTGTAATTTTGGAGAAGGGCATCATTTCCTATCATGTGATTAGAAGCATCAGTGTCGACTATCCACGACCCTATTTTTCCTCTATTAGTAGTGAAGTTAATATGTAAATTTATTTTAGCAACCAAACCTATTAAAATTGGAAATAGAATTGAAAGATAATTTGGTAAATAATTTTGTAAGATACAGAAAGCTAGGATGACTAAGACGAGAGTGTAATAATATAATTTCACTATCTTTATTGACATTAAAATTGGACATAGAATTGAAAGATTTTTATAGACTCTGAGAGTGAATACAACTTGCTTGCGAAACTTGATTTGAGGATTTGTCACAAGAGAGGAGATAAGAGCTCAGAGCACAATTTAACACTACCAATCATCTTCCCTGATTTCAAGTCTTGAAAAGCCTATAAGTTTGGATAAATTTTAGTAACACATGATGGTTATGAGACAATTTGCTAATGGACAAACGATTACAATTCAAGTTTGAAACATGGATGATAGAGTTGAGATAAAACTCTTTAGTAATTTGGATGTGTTATGTTCCAACAATCTTATAATTTGAACCATCAGCAATATGGATGAACGAGTGACCACAACTTGGCTTATAATTTTAGAGAAGGGCATCATTTCCTATCATGTGATTAGAAGCATCAGTGTTGACTATCCACGACCTTATTTTTCCTCTGTTAGTAGTGAAGTTAATATGTAAATTTATTTTAGCAACCAAACCTATCCCAGTAGTTCAACTTGACTAAAAAGCTTATGCAGCAATCCATCTGCTTTTTGCTGAATGGGTTAGGCTCGGGAACATGAGCACTCTCAGAGTTGGAAGCCATATGTACTTTGCTGTCTCTATTGAACTGTGGCGTTGGCTTCCAATTAGCTAGATTGTCTTGGAGCTTCCAGCAAGTCTCCTTGCAATGATCTGGTTTCTTATAGTAATTACACCAAGACCTTTCCCATTTATGACAATCTCCACTATTATTGTTCGATGATCGAAAAGCAAGGGCAGATGCATCCAACATTGATTTGGGTAACACCTTAGATTTCATCATTACTTTCTTTCTACTTTCTTTACACCTAACCTCTGAGAAAGCCTCCCTAAGATTGAACAATGGTTTAGGTGCCCATTATTCAACCTCGAACATCATCCAACTCCCTGTTAAGTCCTAAGAAAAGCTTGAACATCCTTTTTTTTTCCACAATCAGCTTGTACATTACTGCATTTTTTGGACATGCCCATGAGTTAGTGTCGAATAAGTCAAGTTGTTGTCAATATCGTATGAGTGTGTTGTAATATTGAGTAATGGACTGTTCTCCTTGATAGAAGTCTTGAAGTACTGATTCAACTTGAAACAACTCTAAAGTATTTTTAGAGTGCATCCCATAGTTCTTTTGCATTCCCAAACAACAAGAAATTTTCACCCATGCCTTTGCTCGTGAATTGATAAGTCATGACATGATCATGCTATTTTCAATCTTTCATTTTTTGTAATCCAGATCTGTAGTCTCTAGCATGTTTGCTGCTCTCGTGAGATGCTCATCATTTCTTTTCCACAAATGAATAGAAACATAGATTGTGACCACTCCAAATAATTATGACTATTTAATTTGTGTCATGTTATGAGAATAACAGAAGATCATTGCCACAAGGTTTGGAATGTTTCAACTGTTTCATGATTTTGGTGTTGTGATGTCGAATATTTATGATGAGGTCATTTCATATTGCGAATAAGAAGATGAGGGAGAAGAACAAATAGGGTTGCTAAAAATATAAAAGAAAACAGTAAGACAAACATTGACAAAAGAGAATCGGCTTGAGGAACAAAGAAGAGATGGCTAGTAAGAATCTGCTAGAGAGAGGTGGCTTGAAGGGATTAGGGTTCAAAAAATTAGCCTTGTTACCATAAAGAATTTTTTAATTTATTATTCTTCTTGTTGAAAACAAGCACCACATCTACATATATATACCAACAAAATTTAATAAATGAAATAACTAACTAGCTTAATTATTTCTTAAAATTTAGAAAACTAATTGGAGAATAATTCTATCCTGAAAATTAGGAAATATAATTATAGGAGAAGATCACAATTGATCTCTCCTTTTATTTCTAAAATTACTTTCCTAAAATAAATTTCCTAATTAGGAAACAAAATTATTGGAAAAGATCACAATCGATCTCTTCTTTTATTCCTAAAAATACTTCACTTCCCTAACATTGACTTTCAAATATTCAACAGTTACCATTCATGGTGTCAAATAATTGTGTTAGCTCAAATGATGATGCCAATGATAGACTCAGACATCCACATCATTAGGCATGAATTCTTATGCCCCATCTTATTATGCTACGGAATATGAACCAATGGGGGTCAAAGTTGAATTTTGATCTTGATACACCAATGATTAAATTCATTTTCAATCTAAAAGCTTAAACTTATGAGATGTGGCTAACTAATTGGTTTTTTTTATGCCAGCTTATTTTTAACTCACCCAATGCAGGATTAAACTCTATTATTTTTTTTTTTGTCTTAACAATCTCTCCCTCACATTAGACCTCTTCTACATTTGCTATCAATCTACCCTTAAAGAAAGGCTTGTTTTCAACATTATAAACTATCATGCAGCAAGAATCCACTCAGCCTTGTTGAGAAATTGTGTGAATCACTCACTTTTGAACCTTGCTCAACCATGATAAAAGACACCGAAAATCATTTAATCCTTATTGAACCTTCAACTCTCATATAATTTGTTAGGGAATATGGACCAAAGTAGCACCCAACATGGGCTCAATACATAAATAGTCAAAGACTCAAACTCATTCTCTACTAAAAGCTTTAAACTATTAGAGAAGGTCAACCACTTGGTCTTTTTATGCCTACATAACTTTCATAACTCTTTTTTATAAGTGGTATGCTTGTCTTCTTTTTTCAAAATGTAGACTGCATCTCAAAGAAGAGATCTAATTAGAGCCTCATATAGTGTTTTGGTGAATTGTAACTTAGTTCATACTTGAAAAAATCTGGCACGATCATCAAACAAGTATTTAAGAAAGAATAATGTTACAAATCAACAAGTGAAAGGTCAATATCTCAAATTGGCACAAGGAGTCTCACCCTTGGAGTTAGTTGTCAAGACTTGCAAATTGCTTTAAGAATCCACATCCATCAAGATAGAAGTATTGGGAAGGAATATTGAATTTTATTTAACCATTTAATGAAAGTATTACATGCCTTAGAGATCGAATTTATAACATGACCCAAATATATGAACGATTTAAAATCCATCAAGATCTGATCAAATACAATAGGTTCCATGAATTTCAACATAGGGAAGTCTTGACATGGGCAGAGTTCCTGGGCATGGCAAAGGAAAATTGACAATCAGAACATAGAAGACACCTAAGAAAACCAGTATATGGAAGATGCCACTTGGTTGCTATGGAGTCAGGCAAAGAAACCAAAAAAGGAGACTTTGATTGCTACAATTACGAAAGTGGAAGCAGTTGTAACTTTCTATTAGGCTGGCCCAAGGGGGGTCGGCTGAACCAGCTAAGCCGGTCCCTATTGGACCAGCTCTTGTCTACAGGCGGAGGACCCAAAGGGGGGTGGAAGCATGGAGAGAGAGAGAGAGAGGTGGGGCCCACAATTCAATTAAACATTGCTTTGGGAGGAAAATTTTGAATTAAGGGCTGTTTAGAGATTTTGTAATTGTCCTCTTTGCTTTAATTAGTTTCTCTTGTAAGGGTTAGGGTTTCATCTTGAATTTGGAGGCTGAATTTGAGATCTAGGGTTTTGCTTTTGGGCTCTAGGCTTTGGCTAGAGATTTGAAGAGTGAATTGAATATTTTTGTATCGTTTGCTGTTTTTCTTGCTCTTTTGCTGAATTGGAGACTCTTGCTCGTTGTTTTCCCTAATAAATTTTAAATTCCTGCACAAAACTTGCTGAATTTCGCTGAAATTCAGCAATTTCCTGCACTGTGGTGTCTGTTTTCTATCACTTTTCGATTTGCATCAGTTTTGCTGCTTATTTCATTGGAACTTTCAAGGCTAATGCACTACTACATCTAAATCCTTTTAACTTTGCTATTCCAAAGTTTCTTCTTAACATAGATGACTGTCAATATCAAGACCTCCAAGACTAAACTGTTGCCAGCTTTGTTTATGCAGCTTTTGCTGGTTTCTAATTAATATTTTTATATATTCAAACCATATTTAGCATTAGGATTGTGTGATAGTCTTCATGCTCAATTGTTGGTTTGTAATGATTCTTGATCACAGACATTACTTTTGAATTGCTTTTGCTTAAAAAAAAATTATCGGCTTGCTCTTTAATTTTTTTGAGGGATATTGAGCTAATTTAATCCGAATTCAATCCCAAACATTTTTTGTTTTTGAATTTTGAGTAAATTAACTTTTTATTTTTATTAAATATTAGAGGATTTGTCGATCTTGAAATTGTTGTTTTAGCTTGAAGCTTATCCAGATTTCTATAATATTCTGAATCACAAATCTTGTATTTGCTTATGCTTTTAATCTTTTTCAGTTTTTTTATTTATTTATTTTTTTATTATTTTTTTATAAATTTAGAGAACTACTCAGAAACTTGAAGAATTTCAGGTAATGTAAAAAGGACTTATTTCCTGAAAACCTTCATATACAGCATGTAATATTTACTTTTGCACCCGAAATTAAGATGTTCATTTGCTTGAAATTGTATTAAAAAGGTTTTTCATGTTGTTTTTTTTTTTTTTTACCAACTGCAATAATATGACTTTATTCTATCCGTTTTCTCAATTTTTGTACTTTTCTCAGGTAAATCTCTCTGAAACAAGCTTTGGAGCTTCAACCGTGTCTTCTTTTCGCTCACCAAAATTGGAAACAAATAATTATTTTCCAGGCTAGTTCTTCATTGCTAATGTATTTTATGTTTGCATGCCTCAAATTACTGTTTTTCAGGAGGGCTTGATGATCCATGATTTTTATCTGATTTTGATTTAAATAGAAGTCATCACTAATGCTCTCAGATAAGTTTCAAAGATAAAAATCTTCTAATTCAATCTGTGGAAGCATACATTGAGATAATAGAAATCAAAGGTTTTTGTAGTATTTTGAAGCCCATGACTTTGCCTTTTGTAGGTACTTTGTTTGATTAGGAATATTCTCCTTGTTTTTTTATTTGGGATCAAGCCATGCATTTTCATGAGAAATAGTGTTTGTTATAACATGATTGATGTATTATTTTTGCTTGTGAGGTACTCTTAGCAAGATTTACCAATAATATTTCTCATTGGAAAGCTTCTTCAAATTGCATGTTCATTCTTGATTTGCCATGCCACCTGGGAATGTTGGGAGGACCTAATTCAATTTCCAAGAATGAAAAAAGAAAAAGAAAAAAGGTTAATGCACAAAACACTAAGAATTTTAAGCAAATTTGCCCAAATAATGCTACACCATGTTGCCACAACTATAAATTTAACTATGATTTCAATGTATATTTAACATATAGACAGCCCATCCCTTCAGTAAGAAAAATTAGGGAAGTAAAAAATATAATGAAATTCTCATAACACAGTTAATGAAAGAACTCGCAAATATTCCCTCCATACAATGACCTTGCCATGAAGGTCGATCAATGGCTTACTTTGATGAAGACATTTCTCGTGGGTTAAAAATTAGGCTCCACAAATTAACATGGAATTATCATTGGCATTATGGTTCTTGTTGTAGGCTTTTCTGCTACTTTTGTTCTAGCAGAGTTGAAGTAAGATGGTATAGGATGTTACTGAAATTCTACTTACTGGTGATAAGATGATATACATATATTTTTTAAATATTGATGCTTAGTAGTTTCCTTATGTTCCTATGTAGTTAGCATGGATAGTGATTATAACGTTTCACCTATCCTCATATTGGGGTGATGTGGTTGAATGAATTTACGGTCTAAATGTTCATAGTGCTTCCAACTATTCATTTAATGATCTCTCTTGTATGACCAAATGGAATATGGAAAGCACTCGTCACATTGAATGCTGGAAAGCAATCTTAAGAACATTCTCCATGCTCCTAACTGTGGATTGAATGCCACTTCTTTGGAATGCTTCTGTGAGTAGCAATGAAATGCTTCTTGTGATTAGGAATCCTTCACTTTCCATTGGCAATGACTGATGGTGGTGGGACATCTGTTTTCCACCGACTATCTTGGTTTTACATTAAATGAGGATCTTCATGTTTCTGCTAATTGGTTAAGGTTCTCTTCCAATCATGGCTGATGTTGATTAAGGCACTCTTGTGTAACCAGTTGAACTTGACTACAAGTCATCCTCGCCATTCTCCCTCCAGCAGTCCTGAGCGCTTTCTTCACAATCTTATGCGGGGTCCGAAAATTTGCGTCCCTGCCTCTCCGCGGACCCCTTTCTTTCTCTTCTCGGGTCATCATGGAGAGTTTTATTGAGTATGCTCCGAGGCGAATTTTCAGACAGCATATTACTGCCTAGAGATTTCCCCCCATTTTGCGAGGACTTTATGATATGAGTTCAGGTTTCCTATAGGCGCAAGCTCCTATAATTAATTACTCCCGATAACGAGAGAGAACTTTCGATTAAGGCTAGTCGTCAAACAAATACATGGTATATGGCATATAGTAGCAGCAAAGTTTAGATATTTGAAATTTTAATATTTAAAATTGGAAATTCAACACCTTGCACTTAAAACGGATGGTGGGGGAAATGATGATAAACCGATCAAGATCCCATTGTTCTGTCATCTCGGGTCATCCTGGTCCCTAGTCTACTTAGAGCAGTTAGTCGACCCAACCTGACAGAAGGATTCTTGTCGGTAGCCATGAGTTGCTTTGTCCAAAGGTACCTTATAGATCTGGGGTGAATATTTGTCTAATGGGACAAATTTGAATCCACCTTAGCTAATAGAGGGCTTTGTGCTCTATCGATTATATCCTATAGATTCATTACTCAATAATTTGGAGCTGTTGGGGAACATACGAACTATATCATGACCGTAATATAGTGGCGTCATTTAGTCGCGAAACCACATGTTAGAGGACACGTGTCACGTCCTTACTAGAAAGATACATATTGAGAATAAATCCTAATGATATTCTCGAATAGATATTAGCTCTTTGTGAGCTGAAGTAGTTTTCATATTTATTCACCTTGGCAAACTGTTGCAAATGGTGGATGGGTATAAATGTTTGATTATTAATTTTAATTTTAAATATCTTAGGTTTTGATATTTTTAGAATTTAAGAATTTTCATGGGCATTTGGGTGGCATTTTCAAGTATTTAGAGGTCCCCTCTAGTTTAGATTATCTGTCAACACGGTCATCATCAGAGTTTTAATGGGCAATTTCATTTTTTTGTTGATTGGGCGTTGTCGTCTCTGTCGACGATTTAGTGTCTAAATATCTTTTTTAACCTGCTCAGCATCCTCAAACTTTGCAGTGACCATCCTGACCTTTCTTTACATGCACACCTTATTTTCACTTATAACTTATGATCTTATTCTACTACAATATCACTTTATTTTTCCTGTAAATTTGTTTTGTTTATCTTCTCTATTGCAGTTATGAAAAATTCACTTTGCAGGTAAAGAAATCAAACGTAGAAGGAGACACCGGAGGAAGTACTATGAAGATCAAGAACCATGCATAATGAGAGGAGTTTATTTCAAAAATATGAAATGGCAAGCAGCAATTAAAGTTGACAAGAAACAGATCCATTTGGGCACTGTTGGTTCCCAAGAAGAAGCTGCCCGATTGTATGACAGGTACATGGCCATTCAATTTTCCTTCAAAGCATCAGTATAATTACTATTTTTGGCCCCATTATCTTTCATACTTATTTCTAAGCAACTTCCATACTGATTTTTTAGTTTTGATTGCTTTATTCCATTATATTTCATACTTTTAGTGTGCCAAGGCTTCGTTTGGGATGACTTTCTTACTGCTTCTTAAAGCAGTTTTTTAGTACAAAAATTAATTTTAAGAAGCAGTAAGAAAGACGTCCCAAAAGAAGCATAAGTAGAAATGTAGAAAATTTTGAATAAGAACTGAAAAGTTACTAGTTGTATTTGTAACAACCGATATGTTGTGAAATCATCAGCAGGTTTAATACAGCATAGTATTATTATGTCGGGAAATCTTTAGCAGGATTCATACATCATAGTTCTGTTTTTCGTCTTCATTAAGAATTTGTTTCAAATAATCTGCAGCTCTGATTTCTCCTATAGAAGTTTCCTCAGTCTGATAACTAGCTAGCAACCTTATTCTTTGCAGAGCGGCTTTCCTGTGTGGCAGAGAACCAAATTTTGAACTGTCAGAGGAGGAGAAAAAAGAACTTAGCCAGTATAAATGGGATGAGTTCCTCGCCATGACACGCACTGCCATCACCAGTAAAAGTAATGGCAAAAGCTTGTGTTCATTGCAAGCATGTATTTACATTTTCAAATTTTGATTTTTGTTTTCACCTTTGATTAGAGCACCAAAGAAGGGCTGGAGTGGGAAGGAGAAAGAAGCTAGGGATCGAGTCGCAGGGTAGCGATATGGAGCCCGAGAAGGGCGCCGGTGGCATGTCGTCGATGTCCGATGATGGCGAGATGGAGACCGCTGCCTTGTGATCGTCCTTGGCATTAAGGAGAAAAGAATTAATGGGGATTCAGATACTCTTTAAGTTTCTCATCTTAGTTGTCTAATTCACTTTTGAGTATTTGGGTTTGATTTCACTAAAAGCTCACTTACTTTGAAAGAGATCAGTTGGTTCAATCCCAGCCGCTCAAAGTGAACTGGACAGTTGAGATGGGGTAATTAGTAGTTACACTTTTAGAAACACCATGATTGATTGGAGGGAATACAAGTTTGAAGCAGTTGTTAACCCTTGTTTTTACAGTGAGGGTTGTTCAAATAATTTGTTTAGATTACATTTTTCATTGTTTGGGTGTGTATAAGGGCTCCCATTAGGGCAAGCTAGGGTTCACAACATTTATCAACTGCATTTACTGAACGCTTTTGGCATTCTTCTATTCAATATGAGGCTGTAATTGGATAATTCTACTTTTTTACTTGGTTTTTAGTTTTTTGAATTATTTCTTTCCCCGTTGCACTGAACCAGTTGAAACATTTTGTATTGATTATAGATTTCGACAGAATTTCATGAGTTTTCTTATGTGTGAATTTATTTGCATTGAGAATTCTCATGTAAGTTATAGACTTTGGCTTCGTTTGAAATGGGATTCTATTAAAAGTTTTTTGATACAAATTTTATAATTTTTTAATTAAAATTTTACTTTAAGAAACAGTGAAAAAGCCGTCCCAAATGAAGGAGAGATTATCTTGTGCGGAGGTCGGACGCATCTCTACATCTGGAGGTGAATTAGGTGCAGTCACGTTAGCAATATCGAGCCGCGGTACCAAACTAAGTGGTGACGTGACACATTATAGTTAGTCTCCGAATGGTGTTCGGCGTCTGCACAGAATAATTAATCCAAATGAAGCCTTTATTTGCCCAAATAATAATTGTCTATCAAACTTCACAGGAAAGCATCTCAAACACAAATTTCTTTCAAAATTGAAAATTTTCCAGATATAGCAAAATAAAATACTGAGAGAAGATTAGATTACATATCAATGTTTACACGTTTATTAATTTTTTTCTAACATCTGATAACAAAAGCCCAATTTATGATACATTTTTCCGAACAATACATAACATTGCCTATTTAGGAAGTGAATCAAGTGTAAGTTTTCAGAGGAATTTCTGATAAAATTTTACAAAGAATTTATTTTTGCCATCATCTAGCACACGAAAAATAATAGGTATGCTGATATTGTCTGGATATATATATATATCAACTAATTTAGTCGGTATCAATTTTGAAATTTATTGCAAGATTTTGGGGCCAAATTCCTCCTGTATCATATTTATGCTGCCGTAAGCCAGCTCAAAAAGAAGAAGAAGAAGAAGAATATTGCTCAGCAACATTATTTTCCATAAATAAAAAAGAAAACTAGTTCAAAACTTGCAAGTGATAAAGTGTGCTTCTACTTTATCACGAGGGGGCTTTGAACTGATTCTATGAGATCAAAGAAAGCAGCGAAACAAACTCAGTAATGGCGCTTCCCTTTGACCTTGTGTTGATTGCAAAGTGCTCCGGGTATTTTCTCAGGAGCATCGACAGACCAAACCATGGTGTTCCTTCGGTCTCTCGCTGAGGCAAATCTTCGGAAGTTAAATACCTTCTCACCTTACCATGATGCCATATGTTGCCATACCGTTCTACCATCTGAAACCAAATCAATTTATTCGTTATCATCCAATCAGAGCAAGAAGTCAGGAACAGATAATAATATCGTCTTTTCTAAATTTTCATTCATTGATTACCTTTTTAAGAAAGAAAACATCATTTCAAACGACTAATCTTAAAATTAGCAAAAAACATAATTTCAAACTTCTCCAGACCACTGATCGATGCCGGATTTCTACCCATCGACGGATTTCTACCCGATGCGAAATTTCCACCTGTTGCCGAAATTTTGCCCGTCGCCAGACTTCTGTCGGACTTCAACCCGACGCCAAACTTCTACGGTTTTGCCAGTTGGCGTCTTCTGCATGTCGCCGAATTTTCGCCGGACTTCTACCCGACGCCGGACTTACGCCCGTTGCCGGATTTCTATCTGATGCCGGACTTCCACCCATCACCGGACTTCCACCCATCACCGGACTTCTGTCAATTGCCGGACTTCCGTCGGACTTCGATCTGACGCCAGACTTTCGTCCATCGTTGAACTTCTATCTGACATCGGACTTCCGCCCATCGCTGGACTTCTGACCTCCGTCACCAGCCGACTATGGTCCTTTCGACCTCCTTCGTCGACTACGGTTCTTCCGACCTCCGTCGCCCGCCAACTACGGTCCATCCGACCTCCATCGCCATACAATGTTCTTTCCAACCTCCGTTACCCATCGACTATGATTCTTCCGACCAAGCGAACATGTCAACAGTGATTCTTCCTATTTCCACCATGTAACACACTCTATATGATGTATATTTGTTACATCAAGCCAAGGCCTTCCCTCCAATGAAGGGTCTCATTTGTAATCAATTACAAATACTAGTGGATCATTTAAATTGGGCTAGGCCTTGCGGTTTTTCCCCTTTTCAGAAATTTCCATATAAAAATCTTGATCTCTCATGAATGTTACACCCTATCTTTTATCTGTATTCGTGCTGAATCTTCGTACAAAGCTAAGACGTTAAACTTTATATTTCTCTACCTCCCCGAAATATTTCGGGACGCAACCATTATAATGATTATATATATTTAAAATGTTTTTTATTTTATTTTAAAGAACACCAACAGGGTATACTCTATTGGATGGTTAATCAAGCATTATAACGTTTCATGTACAACAAACCTCAGTATGAAGTTTGGCCACGGGCATCCATTCTCCTGGACGACATCTATCGGACAGTACAGAGGCTACTGAAGAGAGAACATCTTTCTCTTCTAACAGCGTTAGTTTATAGTTATCTGCCTCTCTATTAGCCCTTGACCTTTTCATGGACTTTGTAGCTGTGAACATGAAAGAAATATCATTCATAAGTTTTAGGTGTGACAAGGAAAAAAAATAATATTCATAAGAAAGGCATTCATTTTCCATGAGCTCTTGTATGGATTTCATCGCATAGTGTAAAATTTATAGTTACAGATACAAACTGAAGCTCCAAAGCATGCCGTTGGATTCAATAATTTTTTAAATTTGAGACTAAATGATATTTCAGATCACCGAAAATAAGTTAAGAAAAATCTACCCTGAAAATTAACCAATCAATAAAAATAAGTGTTATAAATTAAACCAGCAACATACAAGGATTCTATAAGACATCTAACGCTGCAAGTGAACTGGTGGTCTAGTGCAGGTATATCAGCATGAAACTTAAAGCTTCAAGCATCTTAAAAGATTGCAACAGAGGATTGCTTTTTTCTCAAAATCGACAGCAAGAAACATCTGAATTTGCTTGGTTTAACATGCCAGAAAGATTTGATGTACCTGTTAAAGCTGCTGAAAATCATCTAAAACATATAGTTGTACTATCATTAACAGCAGAGTACATAAATATTAGGAGGAAAAATTTAAATAATTGGACCTCTCATGCCTTTACATGCGAACCGACGGTTACTAATTTTACATCAACCTGGAAGGAGCTTGACAAACATTATAATTATTTGGGTTTTGAGTTCTGTATTCTGAAGCAATTCAGATGGTGTTTTCTTATCCGGTATCATTTGGTATCAAAGCCGGCAGGCTCTTCTAGTTTATTCTCTGTATCCTGGAGTTTCCAGGTGGCGGTCACCTACCCTTCCCTCCTTCAACCGATGTCCACAAGAAGCCTCCAAGAAGATGCCATGGTTTCTTCCTACATATCCACTTCCCTCTGACTCCTTCACATGACCAACCTGCTCGCTACCGCTCTCTCGGCAGCCCAATCCCACAATCCCAGTGCCTCGAACCCTCAACTAATGCCCTGTGGCCTCGCATCCCTCGCCTACAAATGCATGATCCGGCCTCCTGCATGCGCGACACCAACGGCATAACCTGACCTACGCTAGCCACCCGTGCAGACCTCCTTTAGCCTGCTTTTGCTCCACGTGCGACCCGCCTACTCGCATCCGCCCCTATGCGCGTCACCAGTTCGCCCGTTTCCATGGGCGCCCGAAACGACCCGTCCATGACCACGTCCCGAACGATTGCCCGTGAGTCCCTTCTACACAACAACTAGACACTTTCTTGTTGTTGTCCAAGACAACCAACCTCCAAGAAATTGTCCAATCAGCAAGCAAGATCCTTCCTCCACAGTACCCAAGCAATTTCTTGTTGTTATGCACGCCATTCCAACCACCAAGAACAAAAGCATTCCTAGTTCTTGGCAAGAATTCAACAACCATAATTCATCTCGGCCACAAATTCAGCCTTAAGACAACTATATTGACAAATCCCGCAAGATGCTGCCTTGTTGGAATCCATAAAGACCACTACAAGAAGTGGTGATTGAGGAACTATAAAGAGAAATACAATAACTGTAGCAAAGGTTAGCAAGATTGGAGCAAAGAGAAGCGGAGTAATGTCAAAAAGAGGAAGAAGACATTCAACCTTTACATCAAGATCTTTCGAGTAATGAAGAGGCAATAAGACGGCATCAAAACCATGCTAGGCAAGGATTTTGGGATGATGGAGGAATCAAGATTGATCTACCCGATTTTGATGGGAGACTTGAACCTGATGATTCCCCTTTTGGTGGAGGCGGCAGTGGCAGAGAGGGTATCCGGGCTTATCAGATCCCTTATTCTTTTGAAGAAGTGTTTGAAGAGCCACCCTATAAGTCTTCTGTTAGACCTGAACCGATCCAGGATGGACCGGTTCATGTCTATTCCCGCCGGTCCAAAGGAGGAGGCGGATGAGGGGGGTTGGGCGACAGCGTTGTGGATCCCATGGCTTAATTTAAGCAAGGTTTAGGAAGGAAATTTTGATTGAGGGGCTGTTTAGGGATTAAGTAATTTTTCTTTTGCTTTAATTAGGATTTTCTTGTTGGGGTTTGGGGGTACTTGAATTTGAAATAAGATTTGGGATCTAGGGTTTTTTTTTGGGTTCTAGGCTTGGCTAGAGATTTGGAGAGCTGTTTCTTCCTCTTGAATTGAAGAAACTTGTATCATTTGCTGTTTTCCTACAACTAATACTTCTTTTTCTATCAGTTTTTCCTCTGTTTTTCCCAAGAAACCTGCTGTACTTTGCTATTTTTTTATTGTAAACAGCAGTTTTACTCACTGTTTTCACCAATTGTGTTTGGTTTGCTTGCGAACTCAAGTATTTTCTAACAAATTTGGTATCAAAGCGTTGTCTTGGGACCATCGGCGGATGAAATCTAGAAATTTCAATAAAGAATTTTCATCCGCAAGAAGATCTTCCCATAAATCTTGGGAAGAAAAGTGGTCGAAAGGAAAGTTAAAGTATTGGAGGGAGAAATAGGTCAACTAAAGATAGATTTTGAGGAAAAAATAGCTGATTTTTCATAATCAATTTGCTTCCATCCATGAAAAGATGGATGGAAGGTTCGCCGCCTTGGAAGACATGATGAAGAAGATGTTTGAAGACAAACAAAATCCGGCTATATCGGAAGAAAAGGAGACCACCGGAGACCATGAGAGAGGCGGAAATCCGAACCCATTTAGGGGGAAGGAGAATCTTGAAGTGGAGATCCTTGAGGGAGATGATGGAATGCCTACTATAGAACCATTTTTTAGGGAGGAGATGAGTATGGGCTATGAAAGGAGGGGTGCTGATTTTGTTGGAAGAAGAAATGATTTTTACCGCCGGGGTGCTGAATTTGAAAGGAGAAGAGGGGAATATGAGGAAGGGTTCTGGTATGATCGCCGGAGAGAAGATCGTGACCACTGGGGAGCACTATTTCTTCAAGGAATGGGAGGTTATGGAGAAGTTAGGGGAAACGGGGGTGACCCGAGGGTGAGGAAACTGAAGATGCCCATCTTTGAGGGCGAGGATGCACATGGCTGGATGTACAAGGTGGAGCGATACTTTGTAGTCAACGGGTTGACTGAGGAAGAGAAACTAACAGTGGTAGGACTGTGTTTGGAAGGGAAAGCACTAGCATGGTACCAATAGCGGGACATGAGGCGACCCATTCGAAGCTTGAGGGAGTTCAAGGACTGTTTACTAGAACGTTTCTGAACCAGTAGGGGAGGAGACTTCTACGAGCAGTTCTTTGCCCTGACGCAGGAGGGGACAGTGACAGAGTACCATGATCAGTTGGTGTACCTAGCTAGCAGGCTGGATTGTCTTTCTAAGACCGTGCTTGAGGGGAACGTCATGAAGGGGCTCAAACCGGAAATTAGAGCAACTGTTAAAGTGATGAGACCGCATGACTTGGGGGAGGCCATGGAGTTGGCACAGCTGGTCGAGGACCAGAAGCATCTGGAGCAAGGAGCTCCGGGGGATCCTACAGGATGACTACTACCTTTTTAGCTCCCAAAGGAGCTACACCGGAAGGTTCGCGCGAAGCAACAAAGGAGAAGTCTGGAGGAGGGGGACCTGGGGGAAATTTTAAGAAGCTGACTGAGAAGGAGATAGAGGAGAAGAGGGCTAAGCGGTTGTGTTTCAGGTGTGATGAGAAGTACATGTCAGGGCGTAGGTGTAAGGACCAAACTCATCAGGTTCTCACCGTCTGTGATGACGAGGAAACTTAAGAGGGAGGTGAGAGGGGGATAATGGAGGAGGAAGATAAGTTAAATCTGGACGTAGCAAAAGTCTCTCTAAACTTTATGGTGGGATTCACCTTGAATCACAACATGAAAGTGAGGGGAGAAATAGTGGACCGTAAGGCAGTGGTGCTGGTCGATAGTGGGGTCACCCATAATTTCATCTCTAACCAGATCATAAATATGTTGGGGGTGAAATTAGTGGACACGGGAGGATATGGAGTGATGATGGGCACTGGGAAGGTGGAGATGGATAGAGGAGTTTGCAGGGGAGTGGTGTCGACCATTCAAGGAATACAGGTGATGGAGGATTTTCTTTTCTTGGAGTTGGGGAGTACTGATGTCATCCTGGGGAAGAAATGACTGTAGATCATGGGGGAGACCAAGATCAATTGGGATGCTTTGAGGATGGAACTGATGGTGGGAGGAAAGAGGATGGTGATCCAGGGCGATGCAGGGCTATCCAGGGCCGGAGTATCCCTCAAATCCATTATCATAACCATATAGGAGGTGGGAGGTGGATATTTGGTTGAGCTGCAATGCTTAGAGAGGGTGAGTGTGGGGGAAGAGGGAGACATTCCCATGACAGTACAACCACTCATAGAGCAGTTCAGTGAGGTGTTCCAGCCACCTCAAGGCTTACCACCACCCAGAGAGCAGGAGCATGTTATCATTGTGAAGGAGGGGGTGTCACCGATTAGTGTGCGGCCCTACCGCTACCCCCAAATTCAGAAGGACAAGATTGAGAAGCTGATTAAGGAGATGTTGGAAGTAGGGATCATCAGACCAAGTGTGAGTCTTTTCCAAGTCCGATCTTATTGGTCAAGAGGAAGGATAACAGTTGGAGATTATGTGTGGATTACAGGGCATTGAATAAGGAGACTGTGTCGGATAAGTTTCCCATTCCGATGATCGATGAACTACCTAATGAGTTGTATGGAGCAGTAGTGTTTTCTAAGATGAATTTAAAGTCGAGCTACCACCAAATCAGGATGAAAGAGAATGATATTTAGAAGACAACATTCAAGACACACGAGGGCACTATGAGTTCTTGGTAATGTCATTTGGGCTCACAAATTCCCCTGCCACTTTCCAGTCATTGATGAACAGGGTGTTCAGGTCGTACCTACGGAGGTTTGTCCTAGTTTTCTTTGATAACATACTGGTGTACAATAGAACTAAAGAAGAGCACCAAGAGCATTCAAGGGTGGTATTGGAACTGCTACAAGAGCATCAGCTCAGGGCCAACATGAAGAAATGCAGCTTTGCACAGACTAGTGTGGAGTACTTGGAACATGTGG